ACTTTAACTATACGCACTATAATATAATAATTCATATGTAATTTCAATTTTATTTACTTTAATACAATCTCTATTCCCTTAAAAAAAAAAAAAAATGCTACCTGCAAACTAATTGATTTATGGCTATAGCTATAAATTTTATTTGCCTTCTCAATTTTCAAGCCACAATAAAAGAAAAAAACTCACACTTAATCGAACAAGCATATATAGTTTACAAACTTAATCAAATTAGGTCCAACAAATCATAGTTCCTTAATTTAGGTTGTAATTTAACCTAATTATAGAAAAAAAAAACTAATTAATTATTACCCTTTTACATTCAAACTCCCATAGTGCACCGTAGTTCGATGTATTAGCACACATCATCTGCAGTCTGCAAACCCCATAGGCTGGACTAATTAATTATAGTTCCTTAGTATCTCCAGCCTTTGAACAGACCCTATAAAAGTCCTGCAAAAACATGAATTAATGCACTAATTACTCTGGTTTTCTTCTTTAAAAAGTCTGTTTTGTTAATTCAGAAGTAATCAAGACAAAACCACACTTACTGCCATGGAACATCTCCTACAAGCAGCCAATCTCCATCTTTGTCCTGATAAATGATTCGGTTCCCTGCACCATCTTTGTCATCATAGTCTGTAATTGACGAATCATTGTTAATTGGTTAATTACTAATCGGATGAAATGAACGAATACCATGTTATCCAAAACAAAATGACCTAATTTGGAACTTTAAATTTCAAAACTAATTTTGGGGAGATTGAAATTAATGATAATGATAGTAACGATGTGCTTACTGTGAGCAAACATGCTAATCAAGGAGTTTGTGAGTGCCTGGTAAGAGTCAAAAAGCCTCATATCAACTTTTCTTGTTATCGCTACTCCTTCCATCTTCACCTTCACATACATCGATCTCCCATTGTTATTCTCCCTCCGGCCAACCACTTGGTTGATCTGGTGAAATAATTTCTTCCTCGATGACTTAATCGGCGGCCAACCCACAACTCCATCTTCTTCTTCATCGTCCCTGTATGAATTAAACATCAATCACTAATTAACACCGTACTAATTAATTTGTAGTTCATTAATTTGGTCCCAAGTAAAATGTAAAATATATGTAAACTTACTTGTTAGTAGGGGAAGAAGTGATTTTTGGACTATTGCCATCATCTTCTTCGTTTGGCTGACCACTCCATAGAAGTAAATTCTTAGTCCTGCATTCTTCTCTGTTCTTCCCAAATGCCTCTTCAAACCCGCGTTTCAATCTGGCCATGCCCTTCGGCTTGAATTCATGTTTGTTCAGGTAGAAAGTTCCTTTAGGATCATAGGTTGGGAGAGCAAGAGTCAGTTGAAGCTCCATATCAAGTACAAGAAACAAGGGTTAAGGTTAAAATATGGCACTGTTTCACTTAGCAATCCATGAAAGTATATATACGTGAGGGAGGGAGAGGTAGGGATTTACTAACCATTGGTGAAGATAAGAAGTTTTGGACAGCATAGGAAGTAATGTCGGAAAAAAGAGCAGCAGTGCTCAGGACAGCTTATGGAAGCTTACGCCAATGTGTCCGGACGGTCCTCGTCCGAAGCTTTCTGAAGTCTTCAAACCTCTGTCGACTCTGCCCCCACCCCTCACCAACCCAGACTCGGGTTTTTCCTGTCAAAGTGGTAAAATTTTACATTGAATTATATAAAAAAAATATGTAATTTAAATATAAAAAGAGTTACTAGTTGTAAGTTGTAACTACTAAGTTCTGAATTCAATTTGTCAATTTAACTAATAAAGTGTTTGCACATGGAGTTTAGTTCCAAACATGTCAACAGTGTCGGTAAACGACCCTTCAAACACATCAAGATGCATGAACTCCCAAACATTCTCACGATCTTCTTGGTTAAGATGACGATGATGATAAAATTAAACATAAATGTCCTTAGTTGATCATCATATTTCTTTTTTACATAATTGCGATTCTTCCTGTCGGAGTTCAATACAACAGTCGTGGATCAATAATGGGAAAGAGAAGATGCATCGAACAGTGTACTTTAAGACACGAAGCAGCTAAACAACATGTTATACGTTTGGTATGTGTTTTATTTTTTTGGAGTTTCAGCGGCAGGCCAGGTCCTTGAACTCCGGCCGATAGGGATCGATCGACCTGGTGTCCCGAACATGGAAGTAGTCCCTGTGAAGTTCACGTGAAGGCTAGCACGGCCATGGCATGCTGGTCCTGGTAGCTGCAAGGGGACCGGAGTTTTTCCCTGTTTTGTCACATCGATTGGGGCCTGGATGATGCTTATGTAGGGTGACCCAATTGTACTCGGAATTTAATGCAAATTAATGTCCATCTTTCACTACCGGCATTCATGGAATTTCAACCATGCCTTGTACAAAACAACTTGGTGAATTTAAAGATTGGAAATGACCATTCATCAGGAGTACTTGTTTTAGTGGACAGAGTTACATAACTAGGTGGAAATTTTGCTCGCGGCAGTAAAAAATGCAAATTACACTAATGTACTTATACCATTTCATAAATTCATCAAAATCAAAGTTTATGATGGTATACAATCCGATTAGATTTGAATTTAGTCTGACAAATTTAAGCAAGGTTTTTTTTTTTTTCAATATTAATTGTATCTTCATATTATGTTAGTCAAATTAAGTATAACTTATATTTAATGAAAGAAAATTATTAATGAATTATTTAGATTAATAAAAATAAAACTTTAAAAATAAATTATAAATGAGAAATGATGAGATGATGAATTATGTACCCAAGAAAGCATTCATGAAAGAGGGTCCCCTTGACGATCAATGTAGCACCCAATCAGTGGATTGTATTCACCTCTATCTATAAAGTGATTCTCCCTATCCTCGCAAACATGGTAACGAACTCCTTGATAGATTGGGACTAAACATACAAGTTCAAAGTACTTGCAAAAATTGCGACTTCTCATTTACTCCATGTTTAGGGACACAGACAAAACAATTATGTCCCCTAGTTTGGTTACTATGATGTTCAAAAACAAAATAAACAATTAATTAAACATATATTTGTTTTAGAGAAACACCGAGAGAGTTGGGGTCAAATTAAAATATCATTTTTTTACATTGAATAATAGACTATAAATAGGGATATTCTCTTTAATTTTTTTTCTTTAATTTTAAAATATAAATTTGAAACTTTTAAGGTGGTGAAGCAAATACAATCGTTTTCTCTTTTTCAGTCAACACCAATAATTAAAGTATATTCATGTTAAAAATAATAATAATAATAATTAAAGTATATTAAACCCGAAAGATGAATTGGGTTGGGGGCCAATTTAAAGATTTGGGTTTGGCCCAATTTAAATGAGCGATCCATAACGTCATGGACCCGTTCCGAGGGTTGACTGAAGCCCGCTCCGGTTTTCCGGTGTCTCCGAAGCTGTTCCGTTGACGCCCGAACGTTGAAATCTCCTTCTTCGCTTTCCAGAGGACGGACGACGGAGAGGAAGAATTGTCTGTCATGGCGTCAAACTCCTTCAAGAATCCGGTCCTGCCGGTATCGCATCCGTCGATAGACCAGCTGGAGGAGGAGAAAGAGAGGCTCATCAAGAGAGGAGATGAACGTCTCTTCAAAGGATCTGCCATGACCAAGAGAGGCGCCTACGCCGCCGTCTCTTACATGGCCTGCGCCGGTGCGTTTTCTTTCGTATCTCACTTACGTTCACCTCTTTCCAGCACCATCTACGCTTCGCGTGATAGTAGATTTTGCTTGTTCATAGCTCCCTGAGACCGTATCAGATTGGATAGTTTAGCTGTTTTATGCTTATCTTTCATATTGCCTCCTGTAATTTATCTCCTTCTTTTGAGGGAAAACAATTGTTATGAAATCTTAATATTAATTGCAGTAGCTCTTGATCCCAGGTTTATTAAAAATAAATATGCTTAGAAATTAATTAGGGATTTAAAATCTTTAATTAACTTGTTGGTTGTAACTAATTATCTGCTCACTGCTACTGTCCATCTGAGAATGGTTGAAGGAAATAGAGAAAGTAAAGAAAGGAGGCTGGATCCACTTATAACAGTGTCAAAATTTTCTACACTGCTTGATTAGCAGTGCAGTTAAGTTTAGGATAAAATATTCTATTAATGAAGATCACACAGGCCAAAATTTTAATTGATTCAGGAAGAAGAATTAATGATATCTACCGGTTTAGTTTCATGGTTGGCTTTTTCCATGGTAACATTGTTGTATATTTTGCAGTGCTCTTGGTACTCTTCAACAAAGCAGCTCTTTCTTCTTACAATTTCCCTTGTGCAAATGTTATCACTCTCCTTCAGGTAGAGCCAATGTAGCTTGTGTTAAGTGCTCTTTTTATCATTTTGTTTTAAATAGGCTTGTTGTTAACCACCCTCAGGTGCATCTCAACATTTCACTGCATATGTGTAACAGTGATGTGTTAAAGCAGAATTTCACATTTTCATGTAAATTGGAATTTTCTCTAGTGGTAGTAAACATTTAGGTATTTTCTTTGCCTGTTGTTCAAGATTAAACACAATATATTCCACAAGGACGAAATTCAGAAGAAGGAGATACTGCATGGATACCTAGGGACTTACACTAGACAACTATAAGGGGTGGAACAATCTATGTGTTTTAATACTTGCATTCTTTCACCTGCAGATGATCTGTTCATGTTCTTTTCTCTATGCACTGAGACGTTGGAAGCTTATATCTTTCACAAACAATGAATCTTTAGTAATTTCTGATAACTCTGCAAGTTTGGTGCCATTGAAGACATTGATATACACCTCTCCTGTTGCAGTATCCTATTTGCTTTACATGGTATATGTTCAGGTTTTAGACTACCTTTTTTTTCTGATAAAAACATTTTAATTTTAATTTTTTTTTGGCCCAAGCATTGTCTAATGTCTATATTTTCATCTATTTGTCTCTGAAAGCTAGTCACCGTGGAGTCAATTCGTGGAGTAAACGTTCCCATGTATACAACTCTTAGGCGGACTACAGTGGTATTTACAATGATTATGGAATATCTTCTGGCTGGGCAGAAGTATTCATCATCTATTGTTGGAAGGTAAACTGCACTTGTAAGCCGTTCTCTGCTGTTGCTTTTATGGTATATGTTTTCTTGGAAGCCAGAAAAAAGGTGATGCATTGAGTTTTGTCTCTACTAAGGTTGCATGGCAGTTGGGAAAGTCCTACCTTTTAGTCTTGCTTCATTGAATTGATTGGGCAACTAGTCACATAATTTTCAAGTGCAAACACTTATTAATATAACCTTTTTTTTTTTTTAAAGTCGATTAAAAAATATATTTACTTTTCAAATCTTAGATGAAACTCAAAAAAGTTTGAAGGTAATAAATGCTTCTCCTTTAGTTTATGCAGTATACACTATCTCACCAGTTTGATTTTCTACAACTTTTCTATTTTAGTATCGGATTCTATTTTCCTGCTGCTGCCTTTTAAGCCTTTGACTATATATTTGTTGAAGTCAATGATCTTGACAAGGTGGTTTAGAAAACTTTTAACCCATGTTTTTGTGATTAGGGAACTTTGTAAGACCTTTTACCTGAATAGCCATGCTTCTGATTGCTTCATTTAACTGAAAAAACTTAAGGTTGTTATCAGTGTTGGCTTGATTGTTCTTGGTGCATTTGTGGCTGGGGCTCGAGACTTGTCATTTGATCTATATGGGTATGCTGTTGTTTTCCTAGCCAACTTCACCACAGCAATATATCTTGCAACTATAGTCCGCATTGGTAGTACTCTAACCTTTTCCTGTTTTCTTTCTTTTCTCTTTTGGGGGAAATCTCTTGATAAAATTTTGTGGTTCCATGTTCTCAATGTGTGTTTTTTTTTCCAGGAAAATCCAGTGGTCTTAATAGCTTTGGCCTCATGTGGTGTAATGGTAATAGCAGTACTACGTTGAATCATATCCATTGCACTATTCTTTCCTTTTATTGCATTTGCGCAATTCCATAATTCTAGTTCCTTTTGTGGCATGAAATCAAGTTTGTTTTCTGTAATAGGGCTATTATGTGGACCATTTCTGCTGCTTTGGACATTTCTTCATGGTGACCTGAATACCACAATGAATTTTCATTATCTATTTTCACCTGGTTTTTTGGTACTTTCTGCTCACTCAAATAAATTGGCTTTTCGAAGATATTTTATATCTATTTTCATGATTTTAAATAATTTAACTCAGTTTTAGCATGAATAAATCAAGCAGGTTTGAACAGACATAATGCTTCATTTGTGCAGGCGGTGTTGCTACTCTCCTGTATTCTGGCATTCTTCTTGAATTACACTATATTCCTAAACACAACTCTCAATTCAGCAGTCACACAAACAATTTGTGGTAATTTGAAGGTTTGTTTACCAAATACCAACTAGTTTTTGTGACTTTTTTTTTTTTTTTTGGCCAAGTGGCTTGTTAGTGCAGTGGAAGTTGTGTGTGCCACTTAGATAAGGGAAACATTTTTGTTATAAATTATGACTTGTATGGAGACAAAACTTCTTCCTCTGTAAGTACCTTTTAAGATCCTCTCTCACAACATAGATGCAGCTATTGTTGTGGATCCCCTAGAAAAGTTCTTTCCTAGGATAGCTTCCTAATCTGAAATTTTGATGAGGATCTATCCACAATCCACTGGTCATTAGGTAGATCCCACACACAAGTTACTTACCATTATAGTGATATTACTAAATGGTGGGTGCTTTTTGGCTCTTTGGAGACTGTCATGGATTTTTTATGTTAACAAGTTAAATTACTGTTAAAAAGGAGGAATTTAAAGTCGAGTTAAAACATTAAATCTGGTTGTACTTGGGACATTTCTGAATGGGGTACATTTCTTTTGGTCGTTCTAAAATTATTGACATTTGTTCTGTATTAGTCTTTAGATTTGCTAATTATCATGCATTTATTTAGGATCTCTTTACCATTGGACTTGGCTGGATGATCTTTGGTGGGCTTCCATTTGATCTTGTAAGTACTAATTCTCTTCTCTTAATTCTGCTGCTTTCTGCAGAATTATGCATTTTTTATTATTCTTGTTCCCATTCCAACTTCACGCTTAAGAATAGAAGTGGCATGCATGAGGACATGACCTGTTTTCATTGTAGCTAAATGTTATTGGGCAATTGCTGGGGTTTATTGGCTCTGGTCTGTATGCCTACTACAAGCTTGTGGGGAAATGATTGAAGCTCCAGCATTCAATATAGCATGAGACATTATCGTTATCTCCCTCTACTTCTGCTCATGTTGGAAGAGGCATACCCAACTTAAGATGGATGATTTTTGCTCAGTTAGAAGTTGCTGACCAAACCTTCAGGAAATTAACCATGCACCTAATACCACTACAAATGATATTCTTTTTGATGCTCGTTTTACCCTTCTTTTTCCTTACTTTTTTCCCTTTCTGCATTTAGGCTTTTGTATGTATGCCTATTATTTGAAGTGTGAAATGATCAGAACATCAGTCAAGAAACATTAGTGCATATTGTTTATGTTACATTTACAAGCTATCTGACAATTTTTCTTGGTTAAATGCTAAATTTGGTCCCTCAACTTTAGTGAGTTGCACATTTTGGTCCCTCAATAATTTTTTGCACTTTTTTGATCCCTCAACTCTAACAAATGTACACTATTAGTCATTTTGTTAATTTAGACCGTTAAGTCCGCCATGTGACATTTTTTATGTTATTTTTGATGACATGGCAAAAACAACATTAAAAAGTACTAATTTGGAATTTTTTTTGATGACGTGTTCGATGTCAACTCATAAATTAAATTTGTTTAGGGTTTATATTTTTAATAAAAAATAAAAAAGTTTGACTCACCTTCTCCCTTTTTTTTTTTTTTTCTTCTTTCTTCCTCTTCTTTCTTCTTCTTCTTCCTCTGTCGCTGGATCCCATCCGGGTTCAAGGGAACCCAGCAAACTGGGTTCCACCAAACCTAGTTGTTGGGTTCGGTGCCGAATCCAGTTGGCTGGGTTCCACCAAACCCAGCTCGGGTTCGATGGAACCCAGTTGGTGGGTTCCTCGACCCAGATCCGGTGAACCCAGCTCCACTTTTTTTTTTTTTTTTTTGTTATATGTTTGTTTGAAGAGATTTTTATGTAAATTGCAGGTTGTGAGGGATTTTTGAGATCATTTTCTTCATATTTCTTAAGCATAGAAGCAGTGATTAATGGGTAAAGAAGCAATTCTTATTGGGTTTTCATTTGTTTGGCTAGAAGGGTATTTGGATGCTGAGAAAATGTTTTTTGTTTGAACATGGTAAAATGTTATGTCTATGTCATTACTTTTTTAAATTTTACACTCCATATCATCAAAAAAAATATAAAAAATGCCACATGTGCGGAGTTGACGGACAAAATTAACAGAAGGACTAACGGTGTGCATTTGTTAGACAAAATTAACAGAAGGACTAACGGTATGCATTTGTTAGAGTTGAGGGATCAAAAAAATGCAAAAAATTGTTAAGGAATCAAAAATGTGCATTTTTTAAAGTTGAGGGACCAAATTTAGCATTTAACCATTTTTCTTTCTAACGTGGCGAAGCTACTGATTCGAGGTAGTCAGATTTTCAGTCCCAATAAGCAGTAGGAAGAATTTCAAAGTTTTGTAGCCGAGTGTTGTTTTGTAGGACTTTAGGTTGAATGCACCAACCTATGAGGAAGGGGGCTACATTCTAACCATTTAAGAAAAAAAAAATATCTAACATAAGTAAGTTGATTTTCATTAACTTACTATTAAGCAATGAATCTAATTTTCAAAGTTACTTTCTTCTTTTTTTCTTTTCCGAAAAAAGTTCCTTTCCCTTTAATAGGTGCCAAAACTTTCTTTTAAAAAAGTATTATTTAGGTAATTATTAAATAAAGTTGAATTCTTTAATATAAGTAAATTTTTTTTTGAGAAAAAGAGAAATAAGAATGTTTTTAATTTTTAAAATGTCTAATAATAATAATTAAATATGTAAAATATAATATGATTTTTAACTATTAAATTTTCTATGTAATTATTATTAAATACCTTAACCCAAAATATCTTTTTCTTTTTTAATTTTTTTTTGGTAAAATCATGATTTTTCATTTTTTTCCCTTAAATTATTTTCTAACTCGAAGTAATTGTTTTTGGCGCAAGCAAACAAACCGTTAATATTTCCCAACTATAATCTCCTGTAATAATACACCTTTTAAATCTCAACACAAACCCTCCAAAGAAAGCAAAGCAAATTCCATTCTCTCTTCTCTAACATCCTTCTCAGAATCTCCCCCGACACAAGCTCCCCAATTTCTAATTTCGATGCTTTCCTCTTTATCATAAGAATCAAACTTCTACTTTAAACCAAATCCATCATGGGTTAGGCTTTCGTGGCGAACTTAATCGGCACAAACAAAAGCAGCACTTCGCTGCTCGTATTTGTGTCGATCTGGGAGTTGTTTTTGGAACCAGCATGTTGAGAATCGTGGCGGAAGATGTTTCGTCTAGCGTTTCCGTGGAGAGGTCAGGGAGGTCTCTGTCGTTGCCATTCTCTGCGATGGTAAGGATGAATGGCGGCTCTTGCAAGAGTTTAACGTATTCTAAGCTCCCTGATGAGCCCCTGAAGCTCTCTGTTCTCAAATTGGATGGCTCTTCCTTTGGTAAATTTCTCTCCTTTTCAATATGGGTCTTTCCTGTTGTGTTCGGTTAGGAATGAGAAGAACTGTGGTTGATTAATGCTCTTAATTGTTCATATTTTTTGAATTACTTTTTGTTACTTGTTCTCGTATAGCCTATAATAATTAGTTTTTGACTTCTGAAAAATTTAAACAATTTGAGTTGTCTGATTTTCAGATATTAAAGTTGCAAAGGCGGGCACCATTGCAGATCTCAAGTTGGCAGTGCAGGCTGCCTTCAGTCATGTACCAAACAATGGTCCTGAGAAGATTTCATGGCATGTTCTTCACTTGTTTGTGGCTGTTATTCTGTTTATTGTTTGATTATTTTTTTTATTTGCTATATATATGAATTAATTGATGACAAACTACTTCTGTTTCTGGAGTTGTTTCCTCACCAGGTCCTGGATGAAATAAAACCGAAAACAAGATGTAGATGAATCTATAAGGGCTCAATAAGTCCTTTAACAGTTTAACCTATTAATGAGTCAAATTTGATCATGCATTGGTAACTTATTACTGCTTTACTGATATGACTCTGCTTCATGAAGGCCGCACGTTTGGGGGCATTTTTGTTTGTGCTATGATGGTCAGAAGCTCTTGGCAGATACCAACTACATAAAAGCCTATGGCATTAAGGATGGCGATCAGGTTTGTAGCATTTATGCTCTGAGTCACATCCTTTATTATTTTCTGTTTTTTATTCATAAATAGTAGTATACTTAAAGGTTAGTGGTGAGGATGCTTTTCATGTTCAATTTAAGATTTGCAGGTTCATCAATTATTGGTCTTTATGAGTAGTTTCCTTTTATGCGAACCTTCTATCCACATAGATAATTTACATGCTAAGCTGGTCAAGAGCAACATATCTGCTTACAATATCATGTGGACTTCACAACAGAACACCACCTTCCAATGAATTACTGTCACTTGCTTGAGATGCTGCTTGTACGTTTTGGAAATTTGACTTAATAATATTGAACAGCTGGTTAAATTTTCAAACATTCCTTTGAAATAGTTGGTTGATTGAGAGGTAACCTAAACTGAAGTAGTCTGGATTGTTCTCTGGGTTTGTTAGTCCATCTTGGAAATGGGAGTATTTCCTGTTAGTTAGAACAGGTTATTATATGTGCTCAGGTATTCTAAGTTTTAGATTCCTAAAGCCTGTCCGGTGCTTCTAACAACCATCAAAGAGGAGAGACATAAAACTGATTTTGAATTGCCTTATGCACAATAGTTCTTTTATTCCATATCCCCCCTTTCCCCTTTCTTTTACACTTGGTAAGTTTTTCCTGTCAGTCCTTGTAGATTCTCATGAGCATCTTTCTATCATCCTTAATGTGTCTGTAGTGGTCCACTGCTTTCCATTTATTCTACTCATTTTGCAGGGTTTCCTTCATATTTATTTATTGACGTATGTTTTTCTTCTTCAGCTTCGTTTCATTCGGCATGTCTCAATCAGCTACAACGTAACAAAAATGCAGAGAAAGAACGGGACTATTTCTTCCAAAGAAAGGTATCTGTGAGTTTTTTTTCTCATTATCTATCCTATTTCATGGATTTATGTTTCAAGCATTATCAATCTTATATCTTAAAAAATAGCATTCCAACCTGCTGCTGTAATCTATGCAGAACTTTGCCTGATATGTTCTGCTAATATTGCCTCATCTGCCACTATTAGTCCTAGAAACCATTTTCTGGTCTTGTCATGCAAAACTGATGTAAATGTTGGATAGTATACATGGTCTGGAACCAAAAGAAATACTTTTAACTTCCTTCTGATACAATATATGATGTGCTAATTGGAAACATGCAGGTCCTTATCAAGACCAAACTCTAAACAATCCAAACAAAATGATGAAGAGGTTGATGATTGTCATGACATGGAGAATGGTCGATACAAACATCACAAAGATAAGCGTCAACAAATTGTTGTAGATCAAAATTGCAGACCAGGTCACTTTTTGAGAGGGTGGACCTCATATTCCAAGCTGACTACCAACCAAAGAACGAGACCCAGAAGAGATATAATTTGTCCCTCAATATCCCGCAGTAGTTTCTTGGATAATCTTAAGAAACTTCTACACCATTCTTTAAAGCAAATGCGGAGGATCGAGAATTAGGGATTTTAGAAGGTCTGGACTTTTCTTGTGGCAAATCTGCATTGTGTTTGTGCCTTTGTGGCCTTGTACACATTCTCTATCAAAGCTGAGTTCTAAATTTTTAAATACCTTATACATCCAAACTGTACCGAATTGTAAAATTCTAACAATTGGATTAGGCAAGTGAACTTAATAATAGGAATGCTTCCATTAATAGATAGTGTTTTGCAATATGACACAGATATATTAATTACAATGGTTGAACTAATTATTTATTGGTGTGAGTGGGTGGAATTTGGTTCTTTTTAAATATCTTGTGAATGAAAAAATATGCACTGAAAAAGCTTATTCCTTATGAGATCTAGTATAACTTGATTTTAAATTAATCATGATTCAATATGATTCAATGTAATTACTGAATACTAAAAAGTTAATATATAAAAAAAAAATTACAACAGTTGATAATTTATAGGGCTTGGGAGGCTTAAGTGGGTCCAAGAGAGGCCCATTGACATTTTGAAGGCCCAATATAGAACCAGTCATGTTTTCAGCTGTGAAATACCCAGAGTAACCTCCTTCCTCTCCATCACGGCCTCATCAATTTGTGTGGCGAAGAAAGAGATAGCCCTCTGAAGAATCTTCTCCTTCATCTCCACACAAAATCTCCCTCTCTTTCAATTCAACTCAGCATTTCCACATTTCATCGGAGTACCTTCATCTCTGCAGCCATGGCGAACATGATCATGGCCTCCTCAAAACCCTTAATCCGACTCACATCCTCCCCTGTTCCTCCCAAACCCAGACTCCAAATTCCCCAACTCTCCCTCCCCAAATTCTCTTCCTCCAAGTTGTTGCAAAAATCACAGCAAATCATCTCCCTCTCTTCCTCCACTTTGAAATCCCTCTCCCTCTTCGCCGCCACCGCTTTGTCTTACATCCCGCCGTCTCTCGCTGAAGAAATCGTGGAGGAAAAGGAAAAGGCGGAACTTTTCGACTTCAACCTGACCCTCCCAATCATGATGGCCCAATTCTTGATTCTCATGTTCGCTCTCGACAAGATCTACTTCACCCCACTTGGGAAGTTCATGGACGAGAGAGACGCGGCTATAAAGGAGAAGCTGTCGAGTGTGAAGGACACCTCTGGGGAGGTGAAGCAGCTGGAGGAGCAGGCTGCGGCAGTGATGAAGGCGGCCAGAGCAGAGATTGCGGCTGCTTTGAACAAGATGCAGAAGGAGACCCAAGCAGAAGTGGAGCAGATGCTGGAGGAGGGAAGGAAGAAAGTGGAGGCAGAGTTGGCAGAGGCTTTGACCAATCTGGAGAGGCAGAAGTTGGAGACTATAAAATCTCTGGACGCCCAGGCTCAAGAACTCGGCCGGGAAATTGTGAAGAAGGTGCTCCCCGTTGAACCCAAAACCATATAAAATCAAAATTTTCCTTCCCTTAGTTTAATCATGTCAATATATTTTTGAAGTACATTGATCATAGATGTCTGTAATGAAACAAATCGATGTATGTTGTTGGTTTTGTTAATGGGTTTGAACCTCTGAATTCTTCTTCTTCACTTGTTAATTTTTTTTGATGATTGGCAATGGAAGTTAGTGGTAGTAGGCTAGTAGCTGATTGCTGGATATCAGAGCTAATTGATTCCAACAAAAGCATGGAAATTTAACAAAGCCAATATCAAAAGGAGAAAATACATCAAAATGGGCAATTGAATTCATTATTATTAGGGCTCTAGGATGGCGTATGACAGCTTTCTATGTCCATTTTCTTTGGGAAAAGAGAGAGTTGGTGTGTAACAAGGTATTCAGTCTGGATATGAATAGATTCAGGTTGAGAGAGATGACAGGAGTGTTCTTCATCGCAAGAAAATGATGGATGCACTTGCTGGCCTCGCTGGTCATGGACAGAACAGCTGAACAGCAAGGAATGAAAGTCTGTGGCAATGCCAAAATTGAAAGCCATTTCTGGAGCCATGAACTGTGGTCTATGGAAATTTGAAATTTCAGGAGGTGAGTTTTCTCCCGTTTGGCCCATTTTACCATACCTGCCCATTTGGGGTCGGTTCTACAGGAAAGTAAAAACTAAAAAGAGGGTAGCAAAAGGAAGTGATTCATTAAGGCCTTAGGTGTTTTTTTCAGTAAATTTATTGATGCAGATTCACTTAACACTTTTTTGAAACTAAAAAGTGTGTTACATTTGTTATATATTTGATGTGGTAATTGGTATACAATATTATCCATAAAAGAGAAATAATTCAGAGATAATTTTTTTTTATTTTTTAATATAATTTTATATGTTATTTAAATTATTAGTTTTTTATTTATTAAAAATTTATGATTTTAAGTGTATTTATTTATTTAATAATATATATAAATTATATAAAAAATTTATCTCTATATTACTACATTTAATAAAAATTTTGATAAGTAAAATAATAAATAAAACCTTTAACACATAGGCTCAAAGTCTCATAATCACTGCTAAGATGTCCTTTTAAGGATGTATTTAAACCCTCCTAGAGGTCTTACAGATAACTCAAATAGCTTTACTAGATTTATGTTTTTCTTATGAAGTGGACTCCATAACCAAACCACCACTGTCACTCAATGGTCACTAATTGCTTTTGAAATAGTGGTGATATTTAAAAATTTAAGATTTAAATCTTTATAATTCTTATTTTTAATTCCCTCAATTATTTTATTTAAAAGAAATGATGTGCACCTTATTTTATTTCTTAATATATATTTTTTAATACATTAAAAAATAAATTATATAAAAAATAATATTATATTTCTCTTTATTCCTCCTCGCTCACCTTAAAATTTAATCTTGAAATCTTCATAATGAAATTTTAAATTCTAAACCATATGAGCGTATGGTACAGTGAACTTTTCAAACTAAGAAATTATAATTTAGTTGATCAGGAACTTTATTTTTAGTATTATTGATTAAGATTTGAAATTTTAAAATAGTTAATAAAAAGACAATTATTGTTCTTCATATCATGGACAGAGTGGTTCTATTCTGTTCCTAAATAAAAATATCGTTAAGAGATTTGAGTTTCAATTCTCAGTTTTCACTCCCTGAATAATTGTAAGTAATTGTTTTTGTTTAAAAAAATAATTTTTTATAAATTTTATAATTTTATTATGGATAATATACTTTTGACTTAATTAAAAAAATCTCAAAATTTATATAAACTGATTTAAAAATATTTTTACCGCTAAAAAATATACATAAAAACATCAAAAAAAAAAAAACAGATTAGACCATACAGGCGGTAAGCTGATCACATGCAAATTCCATTTCCCTAAAAACTCGCTCAGCAAAAAATCGTGAATTATTAGCCACTAAAAAACACAATTTTTGATTTATAATCAATTATTTATCGAACAAATTGACAAATTTTCGAATTTTGGAATTTCATTTTTCCATGGGCTTCGGTTTGGTTTGGTTCCCCAATTTTTTGGGTTTAATTAAAAAGTAGCGTTAGCCGCAACGTAACAAAAGGGCCCACCTCCATAGATTCATGGATCTTTATTGGATCTCCTCTACGGCTCTACTACTAGTACTTACTTGTGTTTTGTAACAAAGGGCCCACCTCCTCCACAATTTCATCTTCTCCCTTTCTCTCTCTTCTGGGTTGTAGCAGCTCTTCTTCAGCAGGCGGCGGCTGCGGCGGCGCTTCTGGTTCCCTCTCTTCCACAGTCTTCGCTTTCTTCAATTCTCGCGACGGCACTCTCAACAATATAATTCGTCTTCCTCTTTTCTTCTTTTGCAGGCTGCAACGACCTTCTTCAACCTCAAGCTCTTTCGCCTTTAATCTCTGCAATTCGACCTTCTTCTTTGTCTCCCCTCGGCCGATCCTTTTCTCCGTCGTTGCCGTGAGCTCTTCTTCGTAAGTCAAATACGCTAGTTTTCGGCTTGATTCTCTTAAATGTTTGTGTTTTTGTTTGCTAGAATTTCTTCGTCGAAGGTATTAAACGAGGAAATTAAACTCCCTATCTGAATATGACAAAGAATCTTTTGATTCTCTTTCTTTTTTTTTTTTTTTTGGCTTAATTTTGATCAGGTTATGTAGATGTAACTTTCCTTGTTCCTTGATGAAGAAACTATGGAATTTTGGAATATTTTGACTTTTGGATTATCACGTCTAAATTTGGAAATTGGCTTTCACTGAAGGAATTCAAGCTCTTGAAACTATAGATATGGTTTTATAGCAATAGCTAGAATTTAGTGTTTTATTTGATGGTAATTTGTAATCTTGACTGAGCTGTTCTTGATTCAGGAGAAGGAATGGCTGGAAAAGTTGTCCCAGCTGGAACCACTGAATCTTTTGAATATGAGCTTTTGGAAGGCGTGGATGATGACAACCTTAGGACTGTGGTAGCAACATCAAATGAGACAACTATATGGATTGACCCTTCGACATTGAAACCTAGGCATAGAATTGGGAGAGGTCCATTTGGTGATGTTTGGTTAGCAACTCGGCATCAATCCACTGAAGAATATGATGAGTTTCATGAAGTAGCCATCAAGGTGTTACATCCAATTAGTCAGGATCATGTGAGGACTTTTTTAGATAAGTTTGATGATTTATTTTCCAAGTGCAAAGGTGTACATGGTGTTTGTTCTCTGCAGGGAGTTTCAGTTATAAGTGGAAAGGTGAGCATATTGTTGCTACTTGATGAGTTTATGTAGGTGGTTTTGCTAACTACTTACTTGTAGGTTGCTGACGAATGACCATTTTTTGTGTCCTTCAGGTATGCATTATTATGAAATTCTATGAAGGATCAATTGGTGATAAAATGGCTCGCCTCAAAGGAGGCAAGCTTTCGCTGCCTGATGTTTTGAGGTGATTTGTTCCTTGGATAAGTAAAACATTTTCCTTGTCTAATTGTTGTTGAGATATGAAGGGAGAAACAGGTGTTAACTTCCAGTTGTATGGTTATGTTTATAGGTATGGGATCAACTTGGCTAGGGGGATTATGGACTTGCACTTGAAAGGGCTCCTTGTTCTTAATCTTAAGCCGTTTAACTTCCTTCTTACTGAAACTGACCAAGCAGTTCTTGGAGATTTTGGCATTCCCTTTCTACTCCTTGGAATTCCATTGTCCAGTTCAGATGTTGCACGCAGGCTTGGAACTCCAAACTACATGGCTCCAGAACAATTGCAACCAGAGTTGAGAGGTCCAATATCCTTTGAAACTGATTCATGGGGATTTGCATGCAGTATTGTAGAGATGCTTACTGGCGTCCAGCCTTGGCGTGGAAAATCAGCTGATGAAATCTACAACCTGGTTGTCAGAAAGCAGGAAAAACCATTTGTTCCAAGTGGCCTTCCTCCTCCCCTGGAAAATATTCTTCTTGGTTGCTTTGAGTATGACCTCAGAATGCGTCCTCTAATGGGAGACATATTGCATGTTTTTGAGAGGTAGCTCTCTTGACTTCTAGCATATTCAGTGTTAAAACTTTAATTTCAAATACCATTTCTTTCTAGGTTGGATGTTAGGACTTCATGATGCATTCCACATATTGATATAACTTATAACTGCTTCATATGCTTTAGGATATATGTTTTTGATCCATCTTATTTCATATGCCACTGAATTGGGTTACTTGGATTACAGATTACCCATACCTGCTGGCTCAGTTTACTATATCTCTCTTCAAGAGAATAGAAAAATGTTGAACTTTGTTTTAAATGAACTATTTGTAGTTTATATGAATATGGACTGTTTAATTCTCTGTTAATCTAATTATTTACAAGTGAATCCTTTCATTTTTTAATATGATCTTCTGTATCAATTAGTTTGTTGGACAATAATAACAATTCTCAGTCATGAGTTTCATGACACTGTTAACCTACTTAATTTTATAAATTTCAATGACATTTTCAGCCTGCAAAATGGGATTCATGATGATGAAGGCTGGATTAGTATGGAGAACAAAACAGTCTTAGATAAATCAAGTAGCAGAAATGGTTACACAGAGTGGTTCCTAAAGAAGGATCATTTGGAAGTAGGTGATACAGTGCGTTCAAGAAAGCCTCTTAACTCCTGCAAAGCTGACAATATGCATGTTCCAGAGGGAACAGCGGTCGGTTCAGAAAGCAATACAGATCAACCTGATGGTGGTTTTGTTTTGGTAAGGGTCCATGGGATCCATGACCCATTAAGGGTTAATGTTTCAACTCTAGAGCAGGTGACTCTTGGGTTAGCTGCTGGGGATTGGGTACGTCTGAAGGAGGAAGACAAAAGGCACTCACCAGTTGGAATCCTTCATTCCATAGATCGTGACGGAAGTGTTGCTGTTGGATTTATAGGTTTGGAAACTCTATGGAAGGGAAATTCTTCAGAGCTTCAAATGGCAGAATCATACTGCATTGGTCTGTTTGTTAGACTGAAACCTAACGTTCTAAGCCCTCGCTTTGAATGGCCTCATAAATCAGGAGGATCTTGGGCTACTGGTAGAATTTGCCAGATACTTCCAAACGGATGCCTAGTCATCAAATTTCCTGGGAGATTAAGTGTTGGCGAGGAGTCAAAGAGTTGTTTGGCTGATCCAGCCGAGGTGGAAGTGGTTACTTTCAGTAATTGTTCAGGGATGTTGAAAAAGTATCAACATCTTGAGGATTTTCACTGGGCTGTGAGACCCCTTGTGGTTGCACTTGGACTATTTACAGCAATGAAGCTGGGCTTTTTTGTTGGAAGGAAAATGGTTAGGTCAAAATCAAAAAAGCGACAGGGCAATGCAACTCAGAGTGATCTGCAAGATAACCAGGCTGCTGGCAACCCAGCTTGGCTTCCACCACCGGTGGCAAATCTTTTCAGGGAAGGTGTTGCTCGGTAGTATCCATGCCCCAAGGCATCTATTAAAGTCGCCGTAGGAACTAGTAGTACTGCTAAATGGTTATCTAATTTTATTTGAAAGAAAATGCAGTTTCAAATTTTATTTGGAGTGTTGTACATATACTACTGCACTCATTTTCTGTAGAAATGCGCAGTCAATCTTTGTTTCTTAGACTCGATGGTTAATGGTTTTAAGATTATGTCTTACTATTGTAGTGTCGGAACGAGGGGTACCATCTGGTTGGTTTGGCTGGCATCTTCTGCCTATTTGGCTTTCGTAAAGGTCATTTCAAGACTTTTTTTTTCCCCTGAAATTTAGGGATCGAATTGGAGCTATGTGAAGATAGTCACAGTTGGGAGGAAACGCCAACGCCAGTATATTTAGATTAGTTTCATATCCATGAATATTGAATGCAATGCCATTAGTACAACAAATGGACATACCCATCTCCAGAATCGTACGCAGAAGTAAACAAATCTTGTCGGTTATATATACAGACGTTTAACTTCAGACACTAGCTGTCTGCAACAACAATCCCCGCTTCTTTCACCAGCTGGTCAGTCAAGTCTAAAAGCCTGGCCACTTCTGTTTTAACCTCAGTAAAACAATTTTTGTTCTCAATTGTACTAATCTCATTATCGAAACCACTTTGTGGGAAGATACTGAAATCGAAATCAAACTCGGTGCTGATGCCAATTTTGATTAAGAGTTCTCGGCTCATTTCAGCAAGCTTTTGGAGGGTACTAGTGGCAGCTTCAACTTCCAGTTGAGCTGCCTCAAGTTCAAGCTTTTCAATAGCCAAGTCCCCAAAGCTTTTATCCCCAACTCTCTCTTGTGCCAAAGCGTAAAGCTTCTTCAGATCATTAGCATCTTTGATCGTTTCTTCCTTCAACGTTTTCAGTTCTTTCTCTCTTTCATCTAATCTCCTTAGAACCGTCTTTAGCTCCTCATCTTTGATGGTGAGAGCCCGCTGTGCAGCTAGAGCTTCCATTTCTTTCGTTCTTAAATCTTCCTTGGTGAATGCAAGTTCGGTTTCAAGCTGCTTTATTTGCAACCTGAAATCATCGGCAGGTTTGGCAAGTGGCATTTGCATTAATTGAAGACCCTTGTCATCAGCTGGCATCAGCACAATATTATCATTGTTCTTAGCAGAGATAGCGAGTTTGTTTGTGAGCTCTACAATCCGTTCCATCACATTTTGGGCTTCAGAAAATTGCTGCTTTGTATCATTCAACTCGTCCTCTACATTCCGAACACGTTCAGCTTTCTCCTTCAACATGGCAGTTGCTCGAAGAAGCTGATCTTCTCTACTGCTCAAAAGCATCTTTAACTCAGCAATCTCCTGATTTGCCTGCTCTAACTTCTTCCTGGCAGTAGCCAACTCCGGATCTTTCTCGTCCACGAGAAGGTGAAGAGAAGCCTGCTCGGATTTCAGATGCTGGATTTCTAGCTTAGACTCAACCAAATCCGCTTCTTTAACTTGAAGAAGATTTTGCAGTTGCTCAAATTCGCCATTCTTATGCTCCAACTTCTTGCGCAAGAAAGAGGCATCCTCAATTGACTGCTGAAGTGAAGATTTCTCTTTCTTCATCTCCTCCTGCAACTCTTCAATTAGTCGCCTCTCCACAGATAAATCCCGTTTGAGCTCCTTGTTTCGAGCCTCTGCAACCCTAAGCTTAATTCTCTTACTGTTGACTTCTATCCGGGCCTTCTTCAAGCTTTCCACGTATGAGATAACACTTCTCTTATGTTCTTCAAGCTCTGCCAGCTGCCGTTCTAATAACAGCTCTTGCTGTTCCATTTTCTGTCTTGAGGACGCCAGAGACTTCTGGGAAGAAACAAGCTCAGACCTCACATTAGCAAGAAGTTGCTTCACTGTGCTGAAATCCATCAAAGTTTCATTGGCATCTCCCATATGTCTCGCTGCTTGCTCTGCCAATTTCTTCAGTTCTTCCTGTGCTAATAACCACTCCATTGTCTGCTTCTCCAAATTTGCCTTTGCAACTTTTAGCTTGTCCTCTTCAAGTTTCCTCAGACTCACTGAAGCTTCTATTTCTGCCTCTTTTGATCGAATAGCTTCTTGAAGCCCTTGAAGTTCAACCTCTTGATTCTTCACGACTTCATTTGCTTCATCCAGGCATTGGGAATTTGATTCAAGTTCAGAACTAACCTTGGCAGCTTCTTCAGTCTTCCTTGTCAATTCCTTTCTCATTTTATCAATTTCATCCTCTTTCAAAGAGAGTGCAGAATGTGCGGAAGCAATCTGCCGGTCTTGTTCTTTCAGCTGAAGCTTTAAATCTTCTATCTCCCTTGCCTGAGAAGCAAATGAAAGATTTGCCTGCTTTAACTCCTCTTCTAGCTTCTCACGCTTAAAATTAGCATCAGCAATTTCCTTCTCTCTTTGCTCCAACTCCTCCTTTGCACGGTTCAACTGGCTGTGCTCCAACAAGACCCTATTTTCCAACTCTTCTAAATCTTCTTCCTTTTTCTTCAAAGCTAACAATGCAGCCTGGAGATCAGACTCCAGAGTCTCTAGATTAAACCCAGGCAGAACATCACTTAGAACCTCAACATCTCCATTCATCTGAGCTTCTAGTTTCTGCGTCTGTGCAAACAATCCCTCAAGAAGAACCCTTGCAGGTTCAGTCGCCCCATTGTCATTAATGCTCGATTTCCCGTTATTTAACACCGACTTGACCACAAGCAGAAAATGCCCATGTCCTTTTCCTTTCGTTATTGTCACAAAAGGTAATGCCTTGTGTCTCAAATTGCGCCTCAACAAAGACAACTGCAAGCAACATTCAGCACTACAAAATTAACATTTTTTTTCTATCATCTCCTTCTTGTTCTTGAATTATATTTTCAGGCTAACACTAACAAATGAAAACCCATCAAATCCTAAACCCCAAAAATGGAACTCAGACAATAACAAGTCCCAGAGAAACGAAATCAAAGCAAAAGAAAAAAGATTACGGAAAGAAGAACGAAAAAGAAAGTACCTTTAAAGAATGAGGCGGAATGGCAACTGGAAGACTAGGGCGAAGAACAGCAGAAAACCCCATGTCCCAACTCTAAATTTCATTCCTTAATCCTAAATTAATAGAATTCAAAAGAACCCCTCTTTTCTCTGAAACCTTAATCGTAGAGAAGAAAGATTCTAGCGCAGCTCAAAGTGACTTCAAGATGCAGCAAAGGATTGGAGGAAAAAAAAAAAAGAAGAAAGAAAAAGACAGCGAGAGAATGTGGGAGAAGATGGCTCACGTTAGTACAACCAACCAGGTGCCACCCTGTTTCTTCTCCGGAGGCCACTGGATAAAGAGGAATGCTAACAATAACCTTTTAAGGCTTTCTTTTGCGCACTTTACGTGCTGATTAATCACTCCGAAT